TTGATGACCCAATGTAAGATTAGCTTTGCTAAATTGGTTTTTTATCATCGTTAAATAAAGTTTATTATTATTATTATTATTATTATTATTATTATTATTAAATAGCAGCTGGCTTGCAATTTCAGCACCTTTGCCAGCGATTTTCTAACCTCCCTACTCAATCTTCCCTTCAACAACAGTATTACCAGTGGACCATTCACATAATCAGTGGTTTAAAAACAGTTTTTCTTGAGAGAGCCAGCCAAAAAACGAGCCACACCCCAAAAGCCTGCAAATTTCAACATTTTCTGAAAACTTATTTTTGATACCTGGGGCTGATCAAATTGGGTGCCTAGTCAACTCCCAGATTGAATTGTAATTTAGCTTGCTAGATTTTGCAGAGAGAGAAAAACAAGAGATACTGGATCGGAGAAGAACTCTCAAATGATCAAGGGAGACCAAAACCTACCACCAAGTAATGTAGTGTAGTTCCAGAAAATATCCATACCCCACCACAGAATGAATTTGTAAAAGAACCACCCCACCTCCAGGAACTTTCAATCTTTTTCCATAAAAATTCTGTAATTTTGTAATACTAATTTCTCTGACCCCCTTCCCCTCCAGAATGTCCAATTTCCTCTGTGGGGGGATATGGATTTTCAATGAGTGAATTACCACTACTATACTACCCTTTATTCCTCATAAAGTGCCTCATTAAAGAAGATACCAATGATCATTATTTATCAAGGAGTTGGAATCCTAAGACAATTAGTAACCCATTTGTACTTATTTCAATCAAGTTAGTCATGTGAAAAGCTATAAAGCTGAGACTGCCAAGGATTATGGGTAGATACATTTTACATGTTTCAACCGCTTTGTAACTATTGTGAGTTAAGATCTTGAGACTTGCATCCTCAAGCTGCAGTTTCTATTGAGTATTGATTTTTTATGATCCTCAGCGATTGCAGCTTTCTACGTTTTTGGTGACTAACTATATTGAAATAACTGCATGTACTTTTTTAAGAATGGGCCATTTGCAATGAAAGTCACATGACCCTTACGTATCAAAACAAAAACGAACAATACAATAGGCTTTATTTACACCATAGTTTACAATAGAGCCATAAACTAAAACAAAATAAATAATCAAAGAAAATCGATTACAATAGCATAATCAAACCGAATGAAAATTTATTTAGAACACCCATAAAGCAATTATAAATGATTATTTTTCCTTACCCATCAATGGCAGTAGATGTGGGGTAATTCCCGGGAAAACTTCAGAAAAATCCGTTGCTTCTGTCGCAAAATTACAAAACGCTCCTGCACAAAGAATCCCATGAGGATGATATCCAAGGATGTAGTTTTTCTGGGGATCCAATTCAGCAGTTTTAATTAACGAAATTGGGAAATAATCTCGGAAGTATTTCCAAACTCTGAGTTTTCGCATGAAAGCTGATCTCCGTCCTCCGTGACTTGGCGTGCCAGAGTCAAAAAGGTAGGCCCACGCAAGATAGAGTAGTGCTACTGGATATAACCAAGTGTAGAGCAATCCAATGATTATGAGAAACCCTATCAAAGCACCGAAGAAGAAAGAGTAGTAATATAGAGCCACGGCTGCAGTTTCTAGCCTTCGATGTAATGGGATACTAATCGGTGCAAATTCGATCATTGCCATATTGGGAAATTGTTTTTTTCTCCCACGATTTTAAGCGTATAGAATCTTATTTTCAAAGTGTATTCGTTAGTTATGTCTAGTTCGTGTTAAATTTGAGCTTCTTATGTGAGAAAACTTTGAACCGAATACTTGTAACAGCACGTTTTACTGCAATCAAAGGTCAAAGTATTCTTTCCGGCAAATATCACCAGGCATTCCTCGTAAAGGACACAAAAGGACAATGGACTCGGGGGCCCTCAAGCAATACTGTCACGAAATACACTGCGTGATAAACTTCCAAAACTCAAAAAACTGTGTCTTAGAAAAAAATAATTTAGATCTGAGGGGCAGAAACGTTCTCATAAATAAAGTAGTCTTTTCAGGAGAAATTTCTAAAACCTAAAACTCTTGTTTGTAGGTATTGTGTTATGATCAGTACCCATCTGAGCGGTCAACTGAGTTAAAAAATTCTTCCGATGTTTTTTGTAAAATTGCCAGCTCTTCCCAATGCGATCTAAAGCGTGTTTAGTTAGATTGCAATGAAAGTGAAACAAGTTTCCTGGTTTAAGTGTGATATTCATACGTACATTTATTTAGCAATATTTTTCAACTCTACATTGTATGCAAATACTTCAGAAGATTTGTACAAAGTGTGTGAACGAAACATAAGAATTTCTTTTATAGATCCATAGAGTATATTCCTTATAACTACAGTGTCTGTTACTTAGGATTGAGGGTTATATTAGCTTCGTTTTAGTGGCAAAATATTCGTAAATACCAACGATAAAGTAAAGAATGCACAGCTTCAACAGTACAAACACTTTCAAATCTTACAGTCCCTAAACTGGYAGTTAGTGAATATTTAACACAAAATCAAGGCTAAACCCCTGAATGACAGAGAATTCAAAACTGTAATACTCAGTCCTATGAAACTGATCCTTATCTTTACTTATATTAACATTTGACATCTTTGGACCTGTCTTAGGAATAGACATGTTTATCATGTCATTTATGTTAAACATTCTTATCCCAGTTGCATCACTGGATGACAAGCTTCGTTTCTTTCGGGATGCCATATCTGTGTTTATGCTTGTGAAACAGGTTGATAAGTCCTTGCACATATTTCTTGTGTAAATTGTCAATTTGCCGTTGAGTTGGTTTCGGCACTGCTTTCTTCACCAAAATTGGGGAACCAACTAGTGGGAAAAAAATAGGATGAAAATAAGAAAAGAAATGAGAATAAATGACAGAAAATTATTATTTAAAAGATGCAGTGAAAATGTTTTGTTGTTCTGTTCTTTTTTATCAAAGTTACTTTGTTTAGTGACATGAAATCATATACTAGAATGGGATGGGAGAAATTAATGAAGAGAAGGGAATAGGATGGGATGATACTTACCTACTGTATATATAGGAACCCTGTGAGGAAGAAGCCCATAAGAATTTTCCACAAATCCTCTGCCGTAGAATAATGGAGGTGCAAATGATGCTATACTTTGGAATTTGGCTTGGAATCTTCGCAGCCAGGAGCCTTTAGGGTTATTTATTTGGTTAAATAACTCATTTTCTCCAAAAGAGTAAACAGGAACAAGAGAAGCACTGAAATGCAATGAAATGAAATGAAAAATGGGAACAAAGGAAAAATAAAAGTATGTGACGATTATATAACACTTTTGGAATGAATCTGGAATGAAACATAATGRATCTTGGCTAGCAGACTATGTTCCAGTAAGGTACTCTGCTTCTAAGGTGTGCCGTTAACCCCCTCCTACTGTTGTTAGTGCTCCATTTTACCGGTGAATACATAAAATCTGGATTAAATATATGTATCAGTAGCTCACCCATTCTGCAATGCAATTTTCACAAATCCTTTTCTATTCTTTAAGGTCAGCTTATGAGAGCCAGGGCGTGCCTCTAWTGATTCTCTAGCACCACCTACGACAATAACTGCAGCATTTCCAGAGCCCTGCAAACAGCTATTAATTGATTCCCTTGAAACATCACAGACACCACCGGCCATCACAAAATCTCTAAAGAATGGGAAGTTGAAAATTACTGAAAATAGAAAAAATGCATAAAATTAAAATGGGATAAAATATGAGAGAGATGACATTACTATTTTAGGGGTGATTTTAGGGGAGTGCAGAAGTGGCCCCTTCTGCCCTTGGACTGCTCTAAGTTGTTGTGTCTATGATCTTATTTTGTCACGACTGCCTTGGCCCTAACTTTTATAATTTCTTGGATTTGCTCCTTATATAACAGATGTAATAATAATAATAATAATAATAATAATCTTTATTCACATGTCAATATACTTATTAACATTAATATATAAAAATTTAAATATCTCAAATCTATAAAGTATCATACTTAAGAACTACGAGAGTGCTAGTAATTATTACATATAGTTGAACGGTTATTTGTAATAATGGCCATGTATACYATACCAGTAAATCAGATGAATGCAAAAGCTCTAATTATTGATGATTATGAATGGGATGATCAGCCTACATGAGACTTGCATGTGGCCTTTGTACAGCTCCTTCTCCCCTCACCCTCCTCATCCTCCATCTCAATTTTACCATGGGCCAGGGGTAGAAAGTGGTTTTATATGGCTATTATATTGTAGAGCAAAAATAGAGGTGGGTCATGACCCAAGTCCTCAAGCCCCATTGAAGCTGTCTTTAAAATAGATATATACATGTACATGCTCATACATGTCCATACATTAAATCCGAGGATTAACATTGTCCTTACATTTCAAGGTCATGAGATGTGGCGTTATTCCAGGGAACAACTCACTGAATGCCGTCGCTTCCGTTGCAAAATTCAACCAAGCTCCAAAGCACATAATGCCGTGAGGATGATATCCAAACACGTAGTTTCTTTTCGGATTGAGTTTGGCAGTCTTTATGAGCTGTACAGGGAAGAAATCCCTGACTAACTTCCAAGTCTTTAGCTTGCGAAAAAATTGAAACCTCCTTCCTCCATTGCGTGGTGTTTTAGTATCAAAGAGATAGGTCCAAAATAAATATATTATCGTAAAGACATAAAAGGGCGAAAAGAGCAAATACATTGTCAGCAAAACACCTATAGTATGTCCAAGGAAGAATATAATACAGAGGACCGTAATAATTGTTAACTGTAGAGGTTCTATAAAATCTGGCATAACCAAGGACACAGATCGTTCCATTTTGCCGTGATTTCCAACCCTACCAAACGCGACAAAATATTTCGACTTTGAACTCGGAAACCCCGCAAACCAAAGCTTCCTTTCTACCACAGTGGAGTTTGAACTTTGGTTAGCACGTGAGTATGATTACAAGATTAAAATACATAAACAAAGATCAAATTTTCATATTTCTGGTTTTTGACACAACGCATTTTTATTTCCGGTTCCGGTGGATTCCAGTGTTCCAAGCCTCTCATGCGGCTTGGCTACTAAGTCTTCCGGTTTCCATCGAACGATTCTTTGTACAAAATTTCACCAGTAAAGTTTATTCCTTCTAAGAATTCTGCTTCTAACTTGACATTCATGAGGGAATTTTGTGGCCTATGGCAGGATAACATCTAAGTATGAGTTTCTTGCCAGGCACAGCGAGTCTTATCAAGGAAATCGATAGTAAGTCTTGTGAAACTTTGATATTTTTGAAGCTATTCTTTGAAGTTGAGCTTCGGTTCTCTTGATTTTTCATTATGACTTTTGAGAAGTGTGTTTTAAACTTTTCCCCTATTTTAAAAAATAAATATTGAAATCTAAATTATTGGTGTGTACATAATTGTACACTTTGTACAAAATTGAATGACTTCTTTTATTTTACTATAAAAAGAGTTTTGCCGCACTCTCATACTTCTAATAATTATCACAATACTCCTTTTTACAGTCCTGTTCAGTGACCACAAATAATAGTTCCAAGTTGAGGTTGAGTTGCAGCGCATAGCAAAACTATAGTTTATCATATACAGCAACTCTAACCTCGACTTGAGGCTATTATTGCATGGTCACTGAATGGAACTGTAAAAAGAAGTATCCAACTCTCTCCACCCAACATATATTGGTGAAGCACCAAATAAAATACTGGTGGAGGATCTGTGATGGAATAGTATCCTATCTGGGGAGTGTCAGAGATACTCTTTGCTATTTAATGGAAGTAATTTTAGAGCGTCTGCCCAATTTTAATTTAGGGATATTGTCTAATGGTGTGTCATTTCTTGAATTCATAGAGAAGCTTCTAGTTGTGTTAAGAGACAATAGGACTCTAATTGGATACTTGAGAAGCATTGATCAGTTTGGTATGTATCTCTTAGATAATACACTAGAACCTTTTTTCTTGTGATGTAACCACAAGACTCAAAATCCCTTGAGATATAGATAAATGAAACAACCCCTATGTTGGTTGATCTAATGAGAGAAGCTAAATTATACCAATTSCTTTGTTATGGTCAACCAACATGGTGGCTCTGTCGTAACATGTACCCCAAGAATTAGTTAAGCGTATTGTTAATTAGAGGCTGCTAAATACAGGTTATATCTCGTGTGAACCCACCCTTCTATCAGTTTACCCTACCCTTCAAATTATATTCAACAGACCTTATATTGATTTCTTGTACATTCTAGAACTCTACCCTTCACATCCATTTTCTCACCCCTGAATTTTATATTTGAATTTTCACAGCTAATCTAGTGCTACARGATACAATAGAGAGAATCCATGTAGGAGATAAATATGGGGATATAAACAGAGGAATCTTTGTGRTCAGAGGAGAAAATGTGGTCTTGTTAGGAGAAATTGTAAGTACTAGAGCACATGCAGTAAAACCATGAAATAAAGACAAAGTTGCTACTGACAAATAGTAGCCATTTAGTGACTAATAGTTACTAGCTCTCAACCAGAGCATTTATTAAACAAAAGACACAAATGGTCTCTTGTGTATTTGTCTTTGAATGATGAATGTTCTTGTTGAATGCTAGCAACTATTATTCACTAAATAGCTACTATTTGTCAGTAGCAACTTTGTTTTTATTTCATGGTTTTACTGCATGCGCTCTATATAATGAAGAGTTTTAGAATTTTAACACCGATTAATCTTGTTTCCACCATTTGCTTTTCATCCAATGATCTGATCACTGACTGTTTGTTTTTGGCTGTTAACTATGTTAAAGGACCAAGAGAAAGAAAAAAATTCAACTCAAMAACAAGTGTCTGTTGACGAGATACTTGAAGCCCAACGAGCTGAGCAAATTGAAAAAGAAGAGCAGGAAAAAGCTAAGAATAAGGCAAGACTACAGCAAGGAATGCCTGTTAATACTTCTGAATCCTATCTAAGCACTGATGATAGGTTTCTTTGATTCATGTTTAACTGCATAAGATAAGTTTCTCACTATAATGTGAGAGATAGGGAGGGAGGGGCAATGTTTTTGTATGCTATTCTATTTAACAGTTTAAAACTTKAAGTTTACTTTCTGAAGTTTCTGAAAATGGTCAAGCACTACTTATAAAGGATGGGAACGATGAATGATAATGAACGATATCTGGCATCATTTATTACTATTTTTTCAGTAACGATTATACAAATAGTTGTTTGAAACCTATAATATTTTAACTTTTCTTTAGTTTTGATAACAATTGCTAAGGTATATAGAATAATGTTTCGTTTTCTTCAAAAAACAAAAAAATTCTTAAAAATATGTTTATGTTTATGTGTTGGATATGTTTATATGKGATACCACAGGAACCCCAACATAAGGTTCCTTTGTTCTTTTCTTCGGAGTCCTTAGAGACATCCTTTGAGTCGTTCAACAAAGCCTGTTGTATTTTCCCAGTGGTGCACTGCAGTTTGTGCATGTGTGAATCACGTCTTTGCAGGAATCCAAACAGAATGGTATCAAGCAGCAACCAAACCAGCACCTGTGGGGGGAGGAGAAAGGATTGAGAAATGTTCAATATCAAATAACTAGTTTTATTATACATTTTACTGACTGTCTCACTTCTGATTGGCTGACAGCCCCCAGCCAATCCATGTTATTGTGTAAACTTGAAATGATAAATGTATTATCTGTAGGCTTTT